TTGCCTGCAAGGTATGGCAGGGGTCAGGGGGGGCCATAGGTCTAGCATGGGTTTGTGGGGGGCAGTGTGCATCTTGCAGGGGAGGTGCCTGGATGTGAATCAGGGTTTTCTGTCTCCGGGTTTCAAGGAGGCTACCTACCACCCAGAGACAAGTGGGGACATGCTGCAGCGGGCGCTGTGCTTTGGCAAGGAGTGCACTGATGGCTACCTGGAGCTGCTGGAGCATGTGCTGGTGGTGAGTGTCCCCGCCCTGGCTCCCAGGATGTGCAGAGGCTGCCTGTGGATGCCAGGGTGCTCCCCAAATCCCCAAGGTTCTCTGAGCTCTGCACCTCCTCCCACTGAGGCTTTTGCATGGCCCCCTTCACTGCTTGTGCTGGCACAGCATGTGGCCAAGCCCCTGCCATGGAAGCAGATGTCAGAGAGATGAACAGGCTCTGAAGAAAGGTATTTGGCTAACAACAAATGGAGATTAACTGGCTGTAAACAGGTGGAGGCTGGAAATTTGACAATACAGGAGCAAAATTCTGAAGCAGCTTCCAGTGAGAGTGGTGGGAGTAAGAAACTTCAGCCAGTGGGAGAGGGGCAGTGCCTGCGATGGCAGAGGTAATGACTACAAGCACCAGCTGCACCCTTTTGATCCAGTCTTCCTCTAGCTTAATCCTGCTGAGGACTTCAGCTGGCTGCTTTAATTAACTGTCCTACAAGATGAGTGTAGTTTACAAGAAGCAAATTAAGACCGCATTAACCAAGAGAGTGGTAGAAAGGATCCAGTGAGGTGGTCCTAGCAGTTTGCATTCTTGGCGAGATCGCAAAGGTGGAATTGAGGGTGCTGGAGGGATGCACAAACCCACATCCATGGAGCTGTGAGAGCCCTCGAACCAGGGTCAGGACAAAGACTGAGGGCAAGTCAGCTCTGCAGCAGGGTTTCACTAAGCTGGTTAGAAGGGCTTGGTAAGAGTGTGCCATTCAGGTTCACCAGAAAAGGCCCCCTTAGGCAGAGGGTAACCAGTGCTGGCAGCACAAAGAGGAGGTGGGCAGGAATCAATGGCTAGAAATTGAAGCTGGGCAGAGGGGAGGTCAAAGGATGATTTTATCCAAAGGAGGTAACCACTGGGGTACAGTTCCAAGAGGAGCAGTGAGTTTTCCGTCCTCTGCATCTAGATCAAATGTCTGTCTGGAAGATGCTTTAGCCACACGTAAGTTATCGCAGCCAAAGCTGTAGTGCTAAGGAAAAACTCTCTGGATGACCTGTTGTTAACAGATGATTGGGCTAATGACTTACTGTGGCAGTGTCCAAGGTCAGCCTACTTGCAGGAATATGCTATTCTGTATTTTGGGTGTAACCATCCAGCTGTCGTGTGGCGTCTCTTGAATATTGTACGTGTGGTACATCCCCTGAAACATTCACTGGAGGTGCATCTTAGTAAGCTCATAGCTTCCAGGCTGCCTTCAGCTCCCGATAGAGATCATTCAGCAGTTTTAAGCATGTCGTCAGAGCAGACAGCAGACTTAATAATGTGACATTTTGTCTGGATGCGCTTATGAGGGCAAACAGTCTGTTGCTGTGTGCCATCAGCTCGGGGACTCTGAGCCACGTGCAGCTCTAGTGACTTTGCTGGGATGGCCCCATGCAAGGGAATCCAGAATAAAGTCATCCCCCCCCCCAGCCTCTGCAGCACTCTGGTCTGCAAAGGCAGGAATGAAGCACGTAGGGTCACATTTATCAAGAGGGCAGCAGGTTCCTGGAAAGCCATGAGCAGGAAGGATGTAGGGGAATGGGAAGGGAGATGGTGGATGCAATGCTGCCTCGCTCCTTGGCAGCAGCAAGACCATTGCTGTATGCTGGGTTCCCATGGGAACCAGTGCCTCGCACGGAACGTGAACAAGCATGGTTAGGGTTTGGAAAAGGGGGTTATTTGACTCGGGATAGAAAACATGGCTCCTGGCAGAAAAGTGTGAAAGCCTGCATATTTCCCTGCATAATACCACGGGGACTTGGTATTTGGTAACAATAGGTCTCTCTTCGAAAACAGAGAGATCTGGTGGCTGAAAACTGTAGTGAAACAATTCAGGGTGGGGAGAAATAAGGTGCAAAGGGGGGCAAGGAGAGTGGCTCTGTAGCTGCTCTGGGTTGTAGGTGGTTCCTCCAGGCACCCTGGCTCCCCTGGCTCTGCTGAGGCTGAAGGATGAGCTAATGCTGGCAGCACAGCTCCCCACCTGGGGTCTCGGGTCCTTCATTCCCACCTCTCAGCTGCCGTTTACCCTCCACCAGAGAGCACCCACCTTTCTGTGCTCCCCATCCCCAGTGCCCATGTTTCCCAGCTGGGGCGTTTGCTGCTGTCTTCTCTCTCTTCTCCTGTGGGAGAAGGATGGACTTCACAACTC